TTTGAAAAGCTCGGGTCTGGCAGGGCTTATTTAGATTTTATGGCATATGTTAGTCAAAGGTCGTTTGGCACATGCTATTTGATATTCAGCTTGCTCTGAGAAATTAAAATTTGAAGAGTATCGTATGCCTAGATCACAATTGGATAGTTTTACACAGATACGTTCATTGTTCAGGTTAACTGACTCTTCAGGGATCAAACTTCCGTGTGACGTAATGCATTATTTACTGGTTTTGCAAACTTTAACATCCATGTGTCGCATCGTTTCTCAAGTGTGTTGAGGTCTTCTTGAATGAGCAGCATTGTACTATGGGGTTCATCTCTTCGAAATTTATACTCAATCTTTATGTCATCGGCGAACAAAAATGGTCTGCCATGTTTTATGAACACTGTGATATCGATAATATACGGTAGGAAAAGGGAACGACCAAGTATACCCCCTTGGATGACGACAATAGAGATTGGATGTGGGAAGGATTTATGATTACCCCGAGTGTCTATCTAGCAACACCCATTGAGGTGTGATGTCAACCAACCAAATAATGGGTCTCTGATTCCAAATGACTCGATTCTTTTCAGTAGCCGCTTGTGTGGCACTCTGTCGAATGCTTTTTGCATATCCAGGAACAGTATTATAACTGCATATTTGGAGTCAGTGGCTTCTGTGATGTAATCCAGGTAGTGCAACTGACACGTTGTACAGGAATGTTTATCGAGGAACCCATGCTGGGATATATTAAGCAGCCCATGACGATGAACAAAGTCCATGATTCCACTTTTAATTAATTTTTCGAATAATCTAGCGATGACGGGAGTATGATGGACAGGTCCATAATTAGCGATGTGCTGTTTGTGCCTCCCTTTATGATGTGAGACAATAAACCATGTTTTCCACTGATCCGGAAAGTAGCTAAATTCTAACGACAAGGTGAAATGTTCAGCAAAAGCAGTGGTATATCAGGTTCACCGGGTTTAATGACGGATTGGGGGATGCTTTCGGAGTCTGGTTTGAGCGATGGTTTGATGGACTTCATAGTCTGTTGGATGGTCGAAAGAGAAATCTCAACGTTATGTATGACGCTTGTTGTAAGTTCCGGGCAGCACATTCATGGAACTAGCGAAAAAACAGTTAAACTATGTGAGGCCCATCGCTGCCAGTTTTCAAATCAGATAGTCGTCCACATGCTCCACTGCAACCATGTGTCAGTTGAATCACTGGCAACTTGGTTAGCTGGACTCCCAAGTCCGGTTAACTATCTCTCCAATCGTAACTTCACTTCCGTTTCACCCGCTGGCACACCTACCATTCGTTTGTGAAAGCACTGACGCTTTGGTAGGTAAAGCACCCGGATCCTTTCTTTACATCTTTAACCCACCTTGCTCCCCAACACTTAGCTTCGGTTTTCACTTGACCATATCTTGCTGGTGAATCAACCGACACATTGTCAACATCAATATGTTTGCCACTCAGGACTACTGTAACCTCGTAAACATATCACTGGCGCTCGGTTGGACCAATTCCCTGCATAATCAAACTCCTAGCGCAGTTAGCCAAACTACTAAAGGTTCGGCATTCTTGTTCACAGCCCACAACCCACACATCTTAAGTAATCCGAAATCCGTATTGCGCCTCCTAATTGTAAACAACATCTGCAATACAATAATAAGGTAGTTGCTTAAATATTTCCCTTTTATACTGTGCAGTAATGTGGACTTATTTTTCCCTGTTAGCCAGACCCATACTGCTGTTCCTTATGCTGAGTCCAGAAATTTGGTTGCGAGACCCTCCCCACACTATATTATTCTCGATTCCACACATGTACATAATTCCCTAGGAAGTTTTCAACCTCCATCGCACTAATACTTACTAATACTTGCTATTTCCCTTCTATTTACGTTGATCCGTACCACGACTCGTTCAACGGTACGATGAGATACTTGCTACCGAAGAAAGTTGGATCTGCATAAGAATAAATTACAACTTGAATCCAATCCCACTCAATACGAATCTCCTCGCATCCGATAAACAATTTCAGCTTCAGAGAAAACTTGTACATACTGATTGGTCCAGGGTCTCTGGAACGTGTCTCACCTTTCTGAGAAATATACCTATTATTATTATTATTATGCACGGAAAAGCACTAGACTGCAGTTTCAGCCTGTTGGGCATCGTCAGTAGTGCGCATCCATCGGATCCATCAGGATTCGAACCCATGACCACCAGTGGCTTGAACCGCCAGTCAGCAACTTATGCCACTGGGCCACGGGGGACAGCTTCGGACCGTCGTGATTTACAAGCTAACTGCGATATAGCGCATCTTATCCTCCACTGCCATGCAAGTTACGAACGTTGCAGAGGACAGGGTTGGCCCCGAAAGACGCTTCATAAAAGCAGGTGGGTCCTTAAGGTGGCGACCCTCCTCATCAATCAGTGATCAAAGACATCCAATCGTTAGTCCTATGACGGAGTAATTTGGTCAGTTCCTTTTCCTTACATGTCATCCGCAGGGGGTTCTGCTCATCTTTTTCAATCCGTTTCATTTGTGAGCGCTCGATACAGGCGATGGATTCGTATAGCTGTAATATTAGTGAGGTCACTCAGAGTATCACTTACATTTTCAGGATCGGGAAGGGTATGTTTATAATGTGGGGAAAGTACAGTTATGATGTGATTGATCTGGTGGTAGAACTGTTCCATTGCAATGTGGGCGCTAGTGGAGAGAAAAAAATTCCCGTCCCGGTTAGAGGACCGGATCTGCTTTCCGAAATGCTCCCAATCAATCCCTTTTTACTATTCTGGGTAGGTGAGTCAATTTTGGTATCCATTTCCAAGTAGGATGTAAGGCGTGGCATCTTATGGTCACTACCGGGAACATTGTCTAATATGTCAATTTGTGCGTTGGGGATCCCCAAGATCAAATCCAGTACGTTGGCAGACCTGGTTGGTCTGGTAACCCTCTGAGTCCAATTCCCAACTCTGATATTCGCTAAGAAAGATCTTTGCAATGATGAGACTGTTTGTGGTGGTCAACTACTATTCGGTAGATTGAAATCGCCAGAGATTTAGACCATGTGATAATACCGATGCGAAATCAAACGCCCGGGAGATAATTGCGAAATACTGGCTGTCGCTTTCGTACGGTTGTACATGCAACCGATAAGTATTGTAGAAGAGGCTGTAGCGACTGATAGCCATAGGGATTCTAGTACATTGTTTAACTGTGGGTCATCAGTGAACTTCACTCTGAAGTTCAGATGGAGATATACGATGCACGCGCCTCCCTTCTTTGTGCTGCGATCTTTTCGAAATGGATGGTGGTTAGGAATATCTAAAGTAGCGTCCAATGTATCGACGGAGCACCATGTTTCGTTGACGAAGATTACAAAATGCAGCTTGTTTTTTATGGACCTTGCGTTAATTAGTATAAGTGAAAATGTGATGCACGAAAACATTTTCTGTGAGTACTTCAAAAGAGATTGGGAATCAGTAATGATGAGCAAAGAATTTAACTAAGAGAGTATTGGAAACAACCCCATCGGTGGAATCCTTAGATGTAGAGGCATTACTCGCGCTAGTAAAACCGGGTGGGCGGGAAAGTTTGATGTTACGACGCTATGTTGGGATTTATCTGATATTGAGCTAACCGTAACATGTGGATGAAGTGCCAGCAAAATGGAACAAGATAGCCTGTCTCTGCTAGGTGTGTCAGTGGTGGGAATGGGTGCGGAGCCATTCCCGCTTCCGCTAAGAAAGGATGAGAGTAAAGTGATGGGTTGTGAAGGGGGCTGCATTGGTTTGTCGCATGGCAGGTGGTGTTGTCAGTTTTCCACGTCTTTCCTGTTTTCATTTCTCTGTCTAGGGTTGTTGTAGACGGGTGGCTGATAAGTAGGCCGGTATCTTGGAGGTTGGTAGGTAGGTGTAGCCGGAAGCTAATTGTTACGAAGTCTTAGAGGGTCGAAGTGACACGCAGCGCTCTGATGTCAAGGCGGTTATTGGCACGGAGCTTTGAGCGCTACCGAGTTCGTCATAGCTGCTTATTTCGTGTAAAAACCAGTCCACGATATATTTGTGTTTACGACATCTGGGGGCGCATCTCGACGTTCGTACCTGTTTCCGGCACTTTTCTTTGGATACCGACAGTCACTTGTTCGTCACATCTGATATTTTCTGTAGTGACTAAACCGTTTGAAGTCGGAGCAATGAGGCCGCGGTCAGGACTACTGGCGTTTGTGAAGTTCGCTTGTCGTACACTAGGCGTTGAGATAGAAGTTGGGGCGGAGTTATTTGCTACGCTTGTTTTGATGTGACACTTAAGCTTATCTTTTCTTTTGATTGATTCTACTCCAGGAGCTCCACACTGTTTTCTCATGACTTTCTGCGTGGTCGTGGTTCAGTTTGATGATCCCACATTTACGGTTTGTGTTAACGCAATAAGGCCGTTCCATAGAGGGAGGACGAGGTAATTTATGGCCGCTGTGTTGGAATTTTTTACCGGGTCTGATTTACAGATGTTGGCTCTTTTTCGCATCTTTCTTTTGTCTTTTCAAAGCAATTACAAGTAGAAAATTCTTTCTCATCGACAGTGGTTCCTCGGCTTTTCACCACAACTTATCAGTCCCTTACTCGTATCTGCCCATGTGGATTTGATTATCGGGAATATCCCATAGCTCCACCGTTTCTTAATGTACAGATAGTTGTTGGCCAATGATTTAACGAAATGCCTGAATATGCTCAGACGTATCTAACCACAATTGGGTTCGTCGTGCCACATTGTGCTAGGAGGTATCAGTCTCTTCGCCTCAAATCATCATCATCGCAACTACGCTTCATGGAATATGACCAACACACCACTCGATTGCATTATCATGTCAAAACTTCTTTTGCGTGTTCGCCTTGCCATTCTCGAATTCGCTGAACCCCGCTTTTCTTTCCCCTCAATTGTGCCAAGGTGCACTATTACTCCTTCGCCAGCGAGAGAGTCAACCCTAATTTGTATGTAGAAGGGCACGTCTGTCTATCTCTCCTCGGCACTTGGAGCGGGAAGGGTCTAGAAAACTGGAACGCCGAGTCTTCCAATCTGCTCCAATTAGTTGTCTCTCTACAAGGTACGTGTGTATGTACTTTCTGTTTATACTTTTGCATGGCTTTTCCTCCCTGCCCCCCTGGGCTGTGTTTATTTCGACTATTTTTGCTCGGTCCAACCCCTCGCCACGTTAGTGTCAATTCCTACAATGCTCTTTCTTGACCGAAATTGTCCGTCTTGACTTCCGGTCACTGGATATGCAAACTGCACAGTCTAAGCAACGTAGCTGGGACAAAGTCATTCCTGTGGGATCGAGCCTCTTACCAAGCGCTAACTGGTGGATTTCAGCGTTTTTCAGTCAGGAATTTCCCTAGATATTACCGATGCTTCCTTGACACCGGTTCATTGCTAAAATTGACTTCTGAATTCGCACAAGATGTATAATTTTGTAAACCTTAGTAATGGCGATACATTCGGTATGTAATTCCCAAGCCGCCGATTGCTTTGGCAAGGTACACTCTGGAAACTAATCGACAATCCTTTTAGTTTCCTGTACGCGGAAACGGTTCCGTCCAGTTAAAGGTATACGGGAGTCCATACTGGATCGGTCGGCCAATGCTGCAACTCTCACAGTGTTGTTTCACGAGGACGCTAGTACACTACCTAACCATCGTGCGCACATCTGCAACAAGGACGGATGCTGACGAATCAAAGATTTACTTCTCAAAATCAAGTATCCGGGACGCCTTACTAAAAGCCACATGAAACACAACAGTTCAAAACCCGATAGGACAAAGAGTCACCAGGAGGCAACTATATCTAACAACGCAGCTGTGGTTTCTAAGAAGTGGCTAATGCGCAAAGCGGCAACAACGCCTTTTACGCGTGCATTTTAAACCTGGTTTATAGCACCAAATCCTCATACGGAAATAAAGTACCTGATCACCTCAAATCCTGGTACTCTGTTGGTTCATCTATCTCATTGGGTCTGGGTTCGTTGTCCGTACTGCTGGAATATAAACGTGAGAGACAAGAAACCTCACTTGGTTTGGCAATCAGTCAACTAGAATTGAGTCCAGACAATCGGAATCGGGCATCAAACCGATGTTTGGATCGCTTTCGAAATTCTACATGAAATACCATCTCAAATCAGTCGCCCATTGAGAGTTCGTTAGCTTACCACCGCGGATACGAGTCTAAGCCCAAGTATTCCAACAAAAGTAGTCCCGTGGCCACCGGTAAGCAAAGGGGATACGATCACTTTCTTGAATTTCACAGGTTTGTCCTGAGTGGAACACCTTACTTACATCATGTGCAGAGTTTAGACTCTCTAACCAATAATTTTTTGTGATGCCCAATTGAAGCTAATCTCACATAATGTATACCAGCGTAGTAGCCAAATGAAGAAGTGACCGAACACCATTTTCGTCTCATTTTTTCGTTTTGTAAAACCAATCTGTTAGGTGACTGAGGTTTGGAACCTAACCGAAAGATTTTGAAAGCACATAATGTGTGTATGTGCGCTCCTAGCATCGGAAACGATGGAAACCCGCCCCACTATACATCAGTGTCGTTTATGCCACAACGGATACTCAATCCGCCCATATAAATGAAGTTCCACTCGTCTACCGTTTTCTCAATGATGCAGTCAGCTTCGACAAAGTGCGTTCTGCCAATCGCCTACTTCGGTTTGCTTTATCTAAGGCGAACCTTCTAGCTGTCTGCTAATCCCACTCCTCTTTCATATTCAGTAAGGTGAATTACATCACGACCGTTCGTTTGTTACACACCTCTAGTGGTACCTAAACATACTATCATTGTGAGTACGGATCTTACCTGCTGTTTATGCGAGGCGGGGATGTTTTTCACTGTGGAATGGTCCACTTGCTTCTGCCATTGATCCGTTTTACCTCTCATCTAACTCATACGACGGGTCTTTCTCGCTTACTTTTTGATTTATTGACATTCTACCTGTTTTCTTGCCCGAACAGCAGAAGAAAAGTCGTGGACAACTTGTGTTATAATTGCCTGTTCTCTTTATTAGGATCGTACCTTCATCTTTGCTTCTATGCTATTTTCTTGTCGGCTCTCTTACATGTTCGCCATTTCGGACCCGGCGCACTTCGGACTAATTCCGTTCTTCCATTTTTCAGGCCTGATCCTGAACTCCGAACCGTACTTCAATGAGGCCGGATTCGAGTTGTGCCGCGGCGCAGAGGGCACATCCGAACGGAGTCGGGTGTACAACGAATCCGTTGTGGCCACGCTTGTCCAGTCCATGGTTAGTCTGCTAGCCAATCCCGTGCCTGTATTTGAGACACAGATTGTGCAACACTGCAAACTCTTCGGAGAGGCGTGAGTCCTTTGTATTCCTCTTCGCATGGGAGTTCGTTCTTAACTGTCGCCGTTGATTTGTGTGCCTTTTGTTCATACATGTTGCGTTCTCCTTAGGTTTGCCTGTTTGCTTCCCTTTAGACAATCGTTTTAGTTACAATGGAATGATAGGTCGATCAGGCTGATATCAGCTGTATTCATTACGCCTAATGGAGACTATATCACAACTCAGTTTTGCTGTTCGTTGCCTTCCTCCGTGCCCCAGTGAAGTTACGTGTCAACTCGTAAGTATGACGGGGATGAATTCAAATTAATGATTGTCGGTATGCTCATGAGTAGATTTTTGATGTGCTTCATTGAGGATCCCTGGCCGAATTTTCCCCGAGTCAGATAGCCGCCCACACATCCGGGGAACCAATACATAGTTTTGTGGAATCCGTGGCTCTCGGGGCCAACCCTGCCTTCTACAACACTCGTGACTTGACTATTAGTGGAGAATGAGTCGTATTGCATCGCAGGTACTGTGCCAATCATGACGATCCACTGCCGTCCGCCATGGCTTACTAGCCTACTACTATGTCCTAAAATTAAGTGCACTGATTTTCCTATGTACCGCTGGCTAAAGTAACCCCTCATTGCTGAATATCAGCGCATCGGTATAGATCTTGGCTGCATGTCTAGACTCGTTTCAACTCCATTGGCTGAGCCATTCCCGCGCTACAGCAGTATGTGTAAGGTCGTGTGTTTATACCTGGTTACCTTTGCAGTGGAGCGAAATGCCGAACAACCGCACGCTATCGAATTCTGTGTAAAACTGGGTGTTGTATACGTAAGGTCAAAACGCACGAGCCAGTTAAAAGGTCATTCTGATAAACGGACTGCTGTAATCTGGTCAATGCCTAACTGGATGAGTACATAAAAGTGTCACAAGGAGAATGATGAACCAATAGGGAAGCAGAGAATTGGACGCTTTGTGTGTGTGTGTATGTGTGTGTGTGTGTGCCTGGGGTTGTGTGCACCTGTCTGTTTAGACTAGGTCAAGAATGCTGACAGAATACACAACATCACCTCTCCGCCTAATCGTTTGATACGTCAAATCCATATCGATTCGGTCGTGTTTGTTCTCGGCCTGTCCTGCGGAGCTGCGGGCTTTGCGTGGTTGCGTCCGTGAAGGTTGGTGGCAAATGCTCCGTTCGTCTGATACTTGTGAATAATCTCCGGGCGTTGACTGTGCGGCCATCCTCCAACCGGTAAGTGCCTGGCCCACATGCACGCGTTATTCTTATCGGATCTGATAACGTGGGCTGTCCTTTTGATGCAGTGTTGACCTTCACGCGCACGTATGTTCCGGGCTGGAGCGGAGTAGTATGCTGCCGGTAAGTGGTCTGATATCGATGGCGACGATCTAACTCGTCGGAATTATTGGTTGCAGGAATAGAAAGTGCGGCATTCAACTTTGTCCGAAGCTCACGCCCAAGCATGAGTTTAGCTGGCGTTTTGTCTGTAGCTCGGTGGTGTGCGGTTCGGTAAGAAAATAGTGCTTGTAGTACTGCATCCTCCCAACCTGTACCAGATAAGCGAATAGTTTGAATACTCTCTTTCAAGGATTGATTGAACCGCTCTACCATGCCATTTGCCGCTGGATTGTACGGCGTTGTACGTGAGTGCCGGATAGCGTGAAGTTGAAGGAACGAATGAAACTCGTGGCTTGTAAACTGCGGCCCGTTGTCCGTCACTATCTCCTCTGGTAATCCGAAACGGGAAAACATATATCCCAGCCATCGAATAATGCTGGCAGTAGTCACCTCTCCACACAAATGGACTTCCGGCCACTTACTGTAAAAGCAGGTCGCCACCAAACAGTTCCTTTGATGCTGAGGCGCTGAGCTAAATGGACCCATGATGTCAACAGCTATCTTGGCCCACGGTCGCATAGGATAGTCAATGGGTTGTATAGGGGATAAAACCGGCCTTGAACTCTTGTCTGCCCTTTGACATGAAGAGCAGTCATGAACAAGTTTTTCTATTTCGCGTGTCATTTTGGGCCACCAGAAGTATGCGTCAACCTTGCGCTTCGTACGAACGATACCAGGGTGGCTTTCGTGAGCACATAGCATGATCTTTTGTATCAAGCTCCGAGGAGCCACAAATTTCTCGCCACGCATTAAGCATCCATCTATAAATGAAAGTTCGTGACGCAACACGTAGTACGGGCGAACCTCGCCTGTGATCTTGTTATTTTGTGGCCAAGCGTTTAGCAGAAACCCCTGAACGTGGCAGAGTGTCTCATCTTCCTGAGTCGCCTTCTGAAGTTCTTCCTTAGTCAGGGCTGATATTGGTTCATTACTCAGTGAAGACACCATTAACCTCTCATTATCATCCTCATTATTTTCAGTTTCGTTGAGGGGCAGTCGAGAGAGCCCATCCGCTACCTGATTTTCGCGTCCGGGACGGAATTTAATTTGAAAATCGTATCTTAACAGTCGTGCATACCAGCGATGTATCCGAAGTGGCCTGATGCCATTTGTTCCTCGAGTAAGTAAACTAGTTAGCGCTGCGTGGTCTGTACGAAGAGTGAAGGGTCTTCCGAACAAGAACAAATCCCACTTCTCACAGGCCCAAACACAGGCAAGGGCTTCTTTTTCCCTGGCAGAGTAAGAAAGCTCCACCGCCGACAATTTTCTGGAAGCGTATGCAATAACTCTTTCATGCCCATTTTGAATTTGAGATAGTATGGCCCCCAACCCAATGTTTGATGCATCAGTAGAGACAATCGTTGGGCAGGTCTCGTCGAAAATCGCCATAACTGGTGTGGAAGCAATGCGGCGTTTTATCTCGTCAAATGCCTTTTGTTGGGGTGGACCCCAAACAAATACACTTTTCTCCTTTGTCAGTTCACGCAGTGGCTCAGCAATATTCGTGAAATCCTGCAGGTAACGTAGGTTGTAAGAACACATACCTAGAAAATGCTTTATTTCGGTGGAGTTCTGGGGGCAAGGAGCCTCGGTGATGGCACGTGCGTTTTCAAAACTCGGCTTCATACCGTCATTTGTTATAATGTGGCCCAGGAACTCGATCTCACTAGCATTAAATTTGCACTTCTCGAGGTTTAATCTGAGGTTAAGATCATGTAGTCGACGTAACACAGCGTGCAGTCGTGAATCATGTTCTTCTGGAGTCCTACCGAATACACAGATGTCGTCCATGTATACTATTTGACCAGGTAAATTGGCAAATGAGTGAACCATAAACTTTTGCCAAGCTGCTGGAGCTGAACTCAAGCCCATTGGCAAGACTTTGTACTGAAAGAGTCCGTCCATAGTGAGAAATGCGGTCAGCGGTCTTGACTCCTTAATTAGAGGCATGTGAAAGAAAGCCTTCCTAAGGTCCAATTTTGAAAAGTATCGGGCGCCAGCTAGTTTAACTATTAGTTCATCCGCGGTTGGAAGCACAAACTTTTCTACCACGATTTGCCGATTTAGGGCCTGCAGATCATTGCATATTCTTACTGTACCGTCCTTCTTGAGGACTGTAACCATAGAGTGGACCCATTCAGAACAGTTAATGTGTTCAATGAGATCATCTGCAATCACTTGCCGTAATGCTGACGAAACAGCCTCTCTTCTGGCCAAAGGAATTGGACGTGGATGAGCAATAGCTACCGGTTTAGCATCCTGCTTCAGACATATGCGGTGAACGGAAGACGGAGCGCGCCCTATTGTTTGTTCAAATAATTTCGGGTACTGTATCTGTAGGTCTGATAGGTTAATTGCCATGATACGCATACGAGCTAGGGACGGCGTGACTCCCAGTGCAACCATAGCGTTGCGTCCGAGTAAGGGACGGTTATTTCCGCGGGTAACGTACACAGCAACTGATGATTTCACGGCCCCAAGTTGCAACACAATCACCACAAATCCTCGTATTTCTACCGGGGCCTTTGTATAACTGTCAAATCGATAGGCTGAAGGATGTATAGGCATGTCATGTAGGTGAATGTCATAAAAACTACTCGGTACTATAGTGATAGGAGAGGCTGAATCAAGTTCCATGTCAACATGTGTTATTCTATCGTGTGCAATAACTGTAACAGTACGAATGTCAGGCATAGGTAGTTTAGGCTCTGGACAATTGGAACGATAGTTAGACACAGTACTTGTGTTATCAATGGAAAATACATTTTCAGAGGACTGTAACTGTTGATTAGAAACGGAATCTGTAGGATTCAACTGAGAAATGCGTGCTGAACGACAACAACGAGCAAAATGTCCACGCTTACCGCACTTTTTACAATCCATTTCTAAGGCAGGGCACTTGGTAAAATTGGTTTTATGCTGTAGGCTGCCGCAGCGGAAGCATTTCTGTGGGGATTGGAATTCGGTTGGCGAGCGATGTATCTTGGCAACCTCCTGTATGTCTGCGTGGGTGGCGAAACATCGCAACTGTTCGGCCGTACATGTTTTGAGGCGAGCTAATTCCACAGCCTTATCCCAAGTCAATTTGGAAGCGTCTTCGGAGAGTAGACATTCCCGAATTCGGTTGTTGGCGATACCACTAATCAACTGCTGCACTAGCATTACGCCCTCGATTCTATTTTTCGGTATGGTTGAATACTCGCAGGGTCGTACACCGCGAACCAGGCAATCAACGAAACCGTCTAGAGTTTCCGATGGTTCCTGTGTAAGTCGGCCGAATTTGAGGCGAGCCATGAAGAGATTTGTACGCTGTCCCCATGACTTGTCCAGCACCTCTAGCGCTTTCGTTAAGGTACCTGGTGACTGCAGCTCCAAAGCATCAAATTGACGTTGTCCCTCATCACCGAGTAGGTGTCTGAGTAGCTTCAGTTTCTGGCCTTCAGTGTAGTTGGCAGCCGCAGGTAGTAGGTCAAGGTAGTTTGTAAACGAGGTTTTCCACTGGGCCCATGCACTTTCGGTAGGACGTAAGGTCGGATCAGACCAGTAAACTGTAGGAGGATGTAATTCCATGACGTAGGTTCGTAAGACGCGACGCCAGTGTTGTATACGTAAGGTCAAAACGCACGAGCCAGTTAAAAGGTCATTCTGATAAACGGACTGCTTTAATCTGGTCAATGTCTAACTGGATGAGTACATAAAAGTGTCACAAGGAGAATGATGAACCAATAGGGAAGCAGAGAATTGGACGCTTTGTGTGTGTGTGTGTGTGTGTGTGTGTGTGTGTGCCTGGGGTTGTGTGCACCTGTCTGTTTAGACTAGGTCATGAATGCTGACAGAATACACAACACTGGGGTAGTCTGCCACTGAGACATTTGAAAATTTAAGTTGCCACTCTATGGAGGAATATGTTTTTTAGTTGGTACATAGCTTTCACAGACGGTCGAGAAAATGTTGATGAACAACTTGGTTACGGAAGACCAATCTAGTCAACAGACGATCCAAATTTGGAGGTTGCGTGAGCTATGCTGGCGAAAACGATGGTCGTCGTTCTTTTCCTCCTCCGTGGAGTTATGCACAAAGAATATGTACCTCCTGATCAGGTCTCCTACAAATGTGTCTTGGAATGACTTCGAAGACGGGTCCAGCGAATCCCAAGGGGCATTGCAGCTGGTTGGGTGCTGCACCACGAAAACGCGCCTGCTCACACGGCGCTTTCAGCTCGAGAGTTTTTGGCGAATTAAAACTGTTCTAACTTCTTCTTGGTTACGCCACAATGACGACCTAATATCAACTCTCCTACTTGGCCAATCGAATGTGGCTCGAAACTATTTCCCGCACGATAAATTAACCGACAAAATTCGAAGTTGTACGATCCGTGAGACTTAGGCGCAACACGGTTACTAGGCGGCATTTGAACGAGCTCCTAGACCGAACGCCATTTCACACACAGCTACCCAAACCCTAGAGAACAAGACAAAAAGACACGCCTTTCGCGTAGGCACTTTTACCTGCCAGGATCAAGGCGATTACAGCGCAGTCCATCGTTTCTTTTATACCTAAATGGCGTCAATGCTTTGCGTAGGCAAACTCCGGAAGCAACTGAATTGGTACTATGCACATATGCCAACTGAATATGTTGGGTAGGTAGATGCGGAGGACTGTGGACTGGAAAACTGCATGTTTTGTGCTTGTAGGGAGGTTGGCCATAAGTAGGAATGTTTTCTGAGGTACAAAGCTAATGGAAACGTGAATGTCTCACTAGTTGGAAGGCAGGTCCAAACATATACACTTGTCTGAATCGAGTCTCATTACTTTCCATGGTTTAACCTTCTGATCATTATGGGGATGTTGGGTCCCCTTAATAAACACATCTTCACATTACCATCACCTTTTTCACAGGATTGACCTAGCTCCATGCGATTTCTACCTCTAACCTGAGTTAAAATTTAATTCGAAAGCTAATCATCACGGATCCGTGCAAAACACCAACAAATGATGACGAAGGAACTTAGCGCTTTTACAAAAAGTGACTCAATACTGCTACGATTAGCTGAAAAACCGTTGGAACCACTGTGTACCTTCCAAAGGGTCATGCTTTGTACTTGCATGCTTGTACTTTCGGATGAGTCTTATACACAGTTAGATAAAATCAAACCAGTACACTTCGTTTTGGGTCACAGAACTAAGCTGCTGGCTGGTTGCGAAGCTTGATAGTGGTCATGGATCCGGTTCTGGATGAAACCAATGCATGTGCATTACTGGCAAGTCCAGACAGGATAAAATGCATGCCTAATGCCTTTCCGGACGCTTTCAGATTACTGTCCGACTTTTATTCCCGCCAAGTGCATCTTGGTCAATAGACACTGTGCTCATCTGGCTGGCTATCTTAAAATTCGGTGCGACAGCACTGTCTTAATCGATAGTGCTGTGTTCTCACGCCACTTGATTATGGACAGCTGACTCCATGTGTGGTTAATATTCTAGCTGTCCTGGCATTTGTTCAGTCGTGCCAAGCACCCAGCACTCCCGTGACTTTGTAGCAACTCTCTCTCTCCTGATTATTAAGTAAAATTGTCCTCTGTGTCATACGTTTAATGGGCTTCTCTATTAGTCCATTCTTGGAAACGTGACTGTTACTTATTCTGTACTTCTTGGTGTGGCGTTTGCACCGTTCATTAGCAGCCCTTTTACTTTCATCGCTATATTTCCGTTTGTATTTGCTATCACACACGCTTATGGCTTCTATCTATCTATCCTGGCTCGCCTGCTCTGAGATATATGGTATGACGTATTAAATCTCAGGTTCAAGCCTTATGATGCGAAACCCACCGGCAATGGATTCAGGCTCCACTTCGTTATTTTTACTTGATACTTCCCAAAGTTCGTCGTCATCAAAATTAACATCGACTTAATTTCTTGGTCCATTCAGCTTATACTGTTTTTCGTCAACCGTTCCATTGTATGCGACAGTTGTTTCACTAACAGAAGTTCAATTCGATTCGACTCACTATGTGCGCCTGCATATTTGTCGTCTTATTTCTTCCCACTTCACTCCGTTTTTGACGCCCTCTTTCCCATATCTTATGTGCTCATTCGTCGTATACCCTCAGCTTCCGTTCACCCATTGCTTCTCCCGTTCTGACACATCACATCACAGCTACGTGTCTCTTTTGAACTTTTGGGCAACATTGGACGAATCGGAGTACGAACGTCGGATTCGCTGTGGCAACAGCCGTCCTCCTCAGTCCATCAAGCTGCCCGAGTTCCCATTGGCTCCAGTTTCCAAAGGCTTCCAAATATCCGTTCGGCGACACAGTGAAGAATTCTTACGTCTAGTCGTAGCCTTGACGCAAAGTGACGGATGAACTCCGCGTTCAGCTTAAGCGCCCGCCCTCCCTTATGCTCTTACTTCTTTGGCAGGCCATCCAAGCAATTTGTTTTTCTTTCCCACGAAATTTTGGGATATTCTGGTTTTCCATTATGGGCATTTCATCATCGTCGCACTGTGTACCCTAGCGATTTGCAATCGCTTCTATTGGGCTTCTTACTTTTGAGATACGGTATTTATTTTTCATATAAGAAATATTTCGTTTCCTTCGTGAACTCATGATCACGTTCTACATGCGTTGTGTTTTCTTACTCTGTCGTTCTGATAACGCTTCTGGGTTCCCAGATGAACCCATGTTCCCGCATCTGCATCTTGCTGTTACTTTTTATTCAACTCTTCAGATTGAGTTGATCCCAACTTCTTGATTTGTAGAAATTTCAACTTTCAACTGGACTAGTTATTTGTCGTGGATCTGTGCTGTCTTCTCGTACCTTACTGATAGGTAACCGCTGATGATACCTTTATATTTCTTAAGGTTGTACTTCGAGCAGATTTCGTCAGTTATACTAACTCCGTTCACTCTGTCCATAATTTAATCTGATCTCCGATTGGGTGGGCTATTGCTCTGCAATACGTCTGTTGCACGATAATTAAGCTTGCTTCAATCGAAGGACATGAATGGGACCGCGCTCAACACCGAGCATTTTACTGGTTTTCGATCTCTGATGCCAACTCTGTGTTTGCATGTTCCTTCAGTGCGGAAATCATCATATGACATTGTTCGTACAACACGATCTCTTGGGGTAGGGTGCGGCACATGCCCGAAAAAGTCCTCTGCGAACAAAATCAGACGTATCTTACGTCATTTGTTCGATGTCCGAAGCATCTATTGAGCTCGACGACCTCCACCTTTGTGTACAGCACCTCTCGGGTATTCTAATCGGACGGTCTACTAGACGATGCAGGACATATGGTCTATGAGAGGGTTGTTTTGTTCTCCGAGCTGGACATTTTAGCGGGACATTTCGTTACCAAGCAAAGCAACGTCATCAGTGTGGCCTTCAATGTCAGATTCACAGATCATTGAGAGTCGCATTGATGATGTTGCTTAGTTTGGAAACGAAACGTCTTCAACCAAAATACGCGGCTCGGAGAACAAAACAACCCTCTCGTCTACACCCCGAACCATTAGTGCTCTGTGGTGATCATTTCCGCGGTCTAATTTTTCTAATCTTCATCCGTCCCGTTCTCGTATATTGTGATCATTTGCCACATCAGTGGGCCAACCGATAGCACAAAATATGGTATGCAACTATTGAGTGCGAAGGACTTTACCAAAAGCTATCGGGAGCGTTTCGATCAGCTCCAACTCGACATATCATTTTGTTCCGTAGAGTAAAGCGTAACTTTATGCTGCTATGCAATCTGATTTCTGAATTGTTTATGCTAGAACTGCCGCACAGTTCAACTCGGTAGTTTCATAACAGAATGTGCTCTGGCTAAATCCAGGCGAAGGAAAACTATGCCTTTTAAATTCCTTATGGTCAGGTAGACAGATACGATTGACAACCGCCATCAGCAGAACACTACTGGTCCCATAGTAAACGTGCTCTCCGCTGTCACAAAGTTTTACGTCTTCCTCCTTACCTAGCGCAGTCATCATACACTCATTCGAATCGGAATAACCCAGTGTTCAGTGAGCATACTTTTACGGAGGTATTTCCTAGGAAAAGTGATTTATGCTAGGCAAATTGTTTTGGCGCGCTTCATACTTCTATCCAGACGCGACACTTTGTTGTTTTTAACAGTTTTCACTGGTACATTACTGTGATCGATCAATGATTCTCCGCGCTATCTGGTGGTCCTAGAATTACATCCATAGGATCATTTCTAACGAAGCTACGACTCAATCTGTGGTTTCAATTGCATTCGCCCATCGCCGGCACTTTCCGCTGTCAGGCACCCACTACAAGCCACTTCCAACGGCCTTGTCCTACAGGAACCAGTGTGGATCAATAAGCTGGCCAAACTTCGTGTACGTGTGTCCTCGTCGTGCACACTCATCTACGGCAACCGACGTCTACTGTGCGACTCAGACAAAGAACGTGAGCGTCACTCGCCCTCTACCCCACAGCGTTCCTTTTTCAACAACGGCCCTCAATGGAATTGCTTCCACCTAACCACACATGTGGGAAGCAGAAGTTTATACGAGCAGTTAAAAGGCATTCTTTGTGAATTTTGCGGCCTTCCATGCCACCCCATCTGTGCTGGTCTAAGTCAACTAAAATACAAGAGACAAATCAACCTGACTGATTCGCTCTGGGTTTTGCCGGACATTAGAGTAATCCCAATACTCACAGGTATAATATCGTTCGAGAAAAAGTGCGAAAAACGGATTGAAAAATTTCAGCAAATGGCGAACTTCGAGGCTTTGCCATTAGAATCTAACGACACCGATCTTGCTCTACAACAAACCCCTCAGATCTCTGTCCCTAAGTCGAAGGCTAAAGTCAGACTTGCTAACTGCCCGACGGCATCTGCGCTACCTACTCTGACAGTTACTAACCCTTTAAGTAAGCAAGACACATCCAGTGTGACTGCTATTAACTCATCCCTAGACGCCATATCTCACGAGTTGGTCACAACACCGACAGTCCAGAGTCGAGTAACATATGCATCGATTGCCTCCATAAAAACGCCTGAAGCGACACCCGTGAGCGATGCAACGTTTTCACAACGTTCTTCAGTGCCCGTCAAACAATCCAAGTTACCAGCCACAACACCCAAACCGACATTCGCTAAACTGAAGCACAGTGCGTTACCGGTCGTGTGCATTAACGTTCCTGAGTCCAATTCTGTCACAATAACGCGCAAGTTGGTAGATGGTCGCAACCAGTGGCATTCCATCTGCCATGCGATTAATATTCGGGTTGACCCAACTGGGCTACGACGTGTAGCGCGTCACTCAAATTCAGTGCACTACAGCGAACCCCGATTATATCGAGTAACTTTGAATTCAATTGAGAAGACAGAGATAGTCCTACTCTTAGCGGCTCATGGAGCGGGGTACGCGTACTACCCGATATTCCTTGGAAAGAATGGTCAAAGGAAAAAGAAAACCATTTCGGCCTTTCTACGAACGAAAGCTAAAAAACCGTAATTAATCATGGTGTTCCTGAACTACTGGGCTCTGATGAGCACGAGGCGCAAAAACATGACCGAGAGCAATGGTGCTACATCCACCTTATTGCTAAATCACTAACAAGGATCTCCAAACTGCAAGGGCTGCAGTCCAAAACTATTGAAACTCGTGCTAAACTCCGATGGGATGACAGAAGTCCTATTGGGTAGCTGCTTGAAGCATCGCTCCAGGTTGCCTACCGAGATTAGGTTAAAGATAGCAGGCGCACGGTCACTAGTTAACAGTACTTCATTGAAACATGCAACCTCAGTAAAGTATTTGCCTCCACAATCCTGCATTTGTAGACAACATGGCATTGTCGACACCTGGCGGGACGGGGAGACACACGAGGGAACATCTCGGTCTTAAGGTCTTGTACACCCGTCCACTTGGGTTCTCAGGACGATATAGGCTTCCGACTAACGATCGTCCTGCTTTTTAATTGACTCTGTTTCTGCAAACAGAGCGAAGCAAGAATAAAAGTCAACTCTGTACTTTCATGCATCGCGAATTCTCAACGGCAAATGGATAACGATTCTGGGAATTGATCCATCCAACATCTATGTAGGTCTCTTTTCAAGGCTTCTACAGTGTCACATACTATCAAAACAAGGAAATGCTTGTCCCAACTGCGAACTAGACAATTCCCAAAGCATTTAATCCTGGCAGCTAGCATATACATTACATTGCTATCCGCACAGATGTTCCAACGTATCCATTTATATACAATTTTCACTTTAAACTGGACATTTTTCAAACCAAGCTGGACATTTTGCAAACCAAAGTGGACATTTTGCAAACCAAACTGGGCATTTTGCAAACCAAACTGGACATTTTGCAAACCACATTGGACATTTTGCAAACCACATTGGACATTTTGCAAACCAAACTGGACAATTTGCAAACCAAACTGGACATTTTGCAAAACAAATTGGACACGTTGCAATCTAAGTAGCAACTGGCCAATTTGTTGGTAAGAAACGAGCAGTAAGACTGCTGTATGATGTTCAGCATATACATTGTGATGACGCTAATACACCGGCATTGTGTAAGCAGCGGGCTACACTGTAAAACATTTGCTTGATCGTGAGCAGCGACCGAAGTTCTGAACTACGCTCCCCTCTCCCCATTGACATTCGCCTAGTTGGTGTGCAGTGCCCATACGCATCAACCTGTGTTGGTGTGTGACAATTGGAAAACCGGACTTCCGAATCGTAATTGTGTATCAATCATTTTGTGGGTGGATTGCGATGCGCAATCTCAATGTGCACCGCTATTCTCATTAGAGAGAACCTTGTCCGATTCGGTCAATGGGACCATGTCGGATGAAGCAGGTAGGCGGTGTCCCAGCTTCGCCCGTCTCTCTATTAGCTTTCGCAACTGCCACGTTATTGTATCAGCGTAGGCTGTAATGACCCCCAGCAAATCCAGTCTAGATCTATAGCCTATTGTTGCAACATATCAACTACTGAGGAGTGGGCCGATTACACGATGTTCAGGCCACATTGTGGTCACGATAATGTAACCGAACTGCGTATGTAGCGGGTGATTGTGTAAGCCCTTCTCTTGACATGAGTGCCGTTCGCCTCGGTCAAAATCGGTGACCTATTTTCCCCTACACCCCCCTCCCCATAGGAATTCGTGTGTTTTGTCTGGGTGTGTAGACCGACCTATGCAGCGGTACCACTATTGGAGCCGAGCATACGATAATGGTTCCACTCAACCCAACTTAGCTTTATTAGCTCCGTGCCGCACGAAACGACCAAAATGAGTGACGAACAACAGGAGAGCTGGTGTCCGACGCGACGGCACTGCAGGCGAACATCATTTGCGCAAAGAGAAATTCTCACAAAACTTGTGCTGGTCGACGGCAAAACTACTCGGGAAGCCGCTGAAGTCACCGGTGTTAACGCGAGTACGGCAAGGAACATCATTAATGCCTACAAGCGAGAAGGCTCAAATACACAGCGCACCTGCGGTGGAAACAATAGGGAGAAGCTGACTCCCAATTTATTGCAGCGTGTCGAAGAAGCGGTTGAACGGCACTCTGAGGACACGTTGGTGCAGCTGCAGATGCGCCTGAGAGATGATGGGATAAACCTATCAGTATCCTCTGTCTTCAACGCCCTCAGAAGACTAAAGATAACTCTCAAAAAGTGTCATTACGAGCTCGACCGAGTCAACGGTGCCACGACAATCGCTAGCCGACAGGCGTACGCTCTCGAGTTCTCGGCACATGCACCTTCTAACAAGGAGAAATGCATCTTCATAGATGAGAGTGGTTTCAACCTTCATCTGAGGCGAACTCAGGCTCGCTCAAGAAGAGGGACGCGCGCGAACGTCGTGTTACCCACAGTCAGAGGTCGCATGGTAACCCTGATTGTTGCAATGAATAACCAAGGCGT